GAGGGGAAAAAAAAACAGAAACAAAAACTTCTGTATTCATTTTTCGATGTGTTCTCTGGCCTTTCCTTAATTGTGAAATATTAGATAATGTGAGGCCTGGAACAATTAAATAATTACTGAAACCATCAAAAAAATTAGAAGGTAAATTTATCTTGAACTGTTAACTATTTATAGACAAATGAAGCAGAGCAACAACACCCTGCTTTTTTGTATGGGATTATGAGCTAACAAAATCTTATTCTGTGTGTAACTAATAACTAGATGTCAGATAAATGTTTAGCTGTGTAAAGAGTTCAGCATTTTTCCTTAAACATAAAGTAGCATCCAGTGACTATTCTTCAGTAGAGTGCAAATACCTTTACATTATACTTAATCAAAATACTTGAGTAAATGTACTTAATTACTTCCAACACTGCCTGCAATAACACAGCTCTATTATTATGTCTGCACTCTCTGCCTATAAACACATTCGTGAAAAAGCAGGCAGTCAGAAAATCACATACTTCAGTGACAGAGGACAAATGCTTTTATAAAAGCAAAAAAGAGCAAATGAGATTTCTGAAATTGCCAAGGAATTATTAAGTCCCCTCACTGCTTTAAATTTCTCAAACTTCAGAAGTAAAGTACTGACTAAAACATGGGTTAAAAAAAAACAAAAAACAAAATCCTCAATTAGTCAAATCTAGCGGGACCCTGTTTTCAACTCATCTCAGTGTTTTCCATACTGCCCAGACAAATTTGACCCCAGGCGAATCAGCAAACATTATTTGGCAGTGCAGAGAGCTTGCTAACATTACAAACTCCTGCAGGCTAAACTTATTTACCCAAGGAGGATGGTAAGTGAAAGGCATGATGACTGTGTCACCATGGAAACTGGTCAAGAAGTGAATTTTTCCAAGTTTAATCTGGCTTCACAACTGCAGATCTCATCCCTCCAGCACCATTTAGTCCCATCTGACTAAAAGAGAGTGTGTTTCCAGTAAGTGTCTGGGCATGCGTCACTGTTTGACCTAAGGGCAGAGCAGACAAAAGCCAAAATGTCCAGCAGAGTGACTGATGTGCTTTGGCCAGTTTCCAAAATCAACCCCTGAACACATAAATGAATGCTTTATTTGTCTAGATAGAAAGCTAAAATCATAGATCGAGTTCACATTCGCAATCACTTTAACAGCATCTACATTCCTTATAGAGCACAGTCTCCTCATCCATTATACATTTAAACTAAAACCTGAGCTGGCACATTGATCCTAAAAACCTTAACTAGGTGTAACATTTATGTGTCCTCAGAGAAAGTGTATATGACAGAGAGAAGTGCTAAAGATGCAAGAAGTCTAGGAATTAATGGGATAAAGTTCATTTTTAATTCAGCACTGTCATAAAGCCTGGTGGTCTCTGTGCCTTATTTATGACTCTACACAAACTTCACTTGGAAAAAAACATTCCCTTCCTTCAGTGAGCTGAATCACTATAAATGACTGATTTTAGGAGCAATGGCAGTCAATATATACAGTATATTCCTTGAGATGTTTATGATTTTAGCATTTCTGCAACATGAGATTATCAAGCTGTGAACCATGCACTGGTTCTGAAATGGCATTTAAAAATCTTATTTATGCAACCTGAACCTCTAATATTCACCCATGAAGCTGTAATTGTGGTGTAAGTGTTATGGTGTAGAATTGCAACTGGCTCCATTGGCGTGTTAATGCTCTGTCATTTACTATGTTTATTGTAATGTAAAAGTGCTGACAATTCTTCACATACTCTGTGCTTTTTAAACCTAGTATTTCACTTGATCCTGCAACTCCTGTAGCACAAATGAAGAGCAAGTCCTGCCAACAGCCAGATATGTACTGAAGTCATGAGTCTGATCTCCCCCAACACATACCCCTCAGTAAAACGCTGACCAGACAAATTATTTGAATTCATCAGTTCATTTAATTAATTGCTATTAATTACTATTCTGCCTCTGCTGCTGTAGCTTTGCAAATTTCCCCAATGTGGAACGTATGAAGTTAAACCTTATCTTATCTTATCTTATCTTATTTTATCACTATTATTATTCACACATTAATCAACAATACACAATAAATTCTATGCACACAGCATCAAACAGCACTATACGCTGACCTCAGGGGTTAAATTGTGCCAGTGTTGAAATCTGTTTCCCTGTGCAGATGTGTCTCCCCTAACCTGAACACTAGCATTATTGTAACCACAACCACCGAGGGGGGCGTGAAACCGAGGTTTTTAATAGGGGGACCCATCTCAACAGGGGAACATACACTATTTCAACACAACACCAGCACTTCTTAAATTGTGACTGGCACCTCTTTTGATGGACCCTGCACCTTATTTGAATATGAAATACATTGAATATATAAATAATATATAAGAAATGTAGCCAATTAAGTTATTATACACACTCCATGGTTATTATACTGAAAATTATTATCATCACCACACACACACTGTCCTGTCGGTGTCTGGCTGCAGTTAGTCCTCCCACCGCTTAGTGGCGCTGCGAGACTTTAAACCACCCTCTCAAACTATCTTGGTATCGTTATGACCTGCTTCCGGCTGCGGTCTCCATCCAGCGCAACTCGTGACTCATTTTATTTACCGCTATCAAAAATACCGGAGAGATACCAGTACAACAACCGGCTGCTGGTTCTACGAATGGGTCCAAATGAGCCCCACATTAAACTAAACATGCTTTTTCGGATATAGCTCGTCAGTTAAAGCTGCTGTAAACGACGAATTATGTGGCGAGTCCAGGGTTTTGTTGGAAGAGGTGAGAGAAATGTCCCTGACGCTCCCCCGTCGCTGAAGATATGAACGCTGAGTATTATGACTCCTGTGTCCACTCGCTTGAGCTAACTACTTGTGAAGCCCATTCATTGAAAAACGTAAAAATCGTCGGTGTAACTGATGCTAACCAGCTTAACGTTATATTTGGTCGAAGCCAGATTTCACTCCTGAAAGTTTCGATGTTACAGAAAACAGGTTTAAGGTGTTAGCTAGTTTTTTTTTTCTTTACCCTGCTGTTGTTATTATTGTACATTTATTACTGTTTATACTGTTTAAACTGTCTGTCTGTCCAGGACGAGGCAATATTTAATTCACTATGAAAATCGTAACATTATGTGGCTAAAGCAAGCAAATGTTTGACCTTTTGCGAGATAATTGCAGATTGTCTTCTGATTAACTAAACAGTTGATCAGTTAATGCCTGCAAATCCAGAAACAATTTGTTTAGTTGTGCTGATCCATCCAGCTGTTCTGCTGCTTAGTCAGGCCCAGATTGCATTCATTTTATTATACATCCTATCTTTGGGAATTATTGTCCTGTACACCTGGGAAGCACTGGTGTACATGGAGTTAATAATCCAGATCATAGTATTTGGGTTCCTCCATCAAAAACATTTGCAAGAGGGAAAAAGCTTGTTCTGTTAACTAGATAATATCTCTGGAATTGGATACTGCAGAAATGCCAGTGCACATGTTCTGCAACCACTCTATTTAAAGGACCTTTAAAGTGATTAGGCTCCTAGTTGTGAGTTCATGCTCAGGTTTGTGTAAGGGACTTTGTAATTGGGTATTTGTTAAAGGGGCATAATTGGATTAGATTCTCTTAATTAATTCCAGATAGTCAATGCACAGCAAGGCAGCTACACATGCAAAAATGGGAAATGTCTCTGCAGTCAAGCATACTATTCAAAATAATTAGACAGTACAGTTTACAGTAGAGGAATGTGAACATTGAACTTTAATGTTTGCATTTTTGGCTTCCCACCAAATCTCAGTTCTGCATCGATGCCATGGCAGCACCCCCCTGCGACTGTCCCAGAACCACCATGTGGAGGATGAGGTCATCAACAACTCAGCTGTCCTCTCCACCTCTCGACACTCTTCTGACAGCAGGTAACTCGCATACCTCCATCCTCTTTTTTTCACTGTCCAGACTTTGTCCAGGTCTGACAACAAAGCCCTGTAAGAAATGAGATGCTTTGAGCATCTCACTTTGATCTCTGACTTCTTTGCCCATAAACCACTGGCCATATTATCAGTTGATAAAAAGAACCTTTGATTTAAGGTCAAACCTCAAGAGACTACTCTCATCCCTGTCCCTCCTTTACCCTTTCTTTGAACCCGTTCTTTCCTCATAGCACCCTCATAACAACCTCACTTTCAGCTGGTTGCATCATCGGCTGTGTGTATGAACAGGGTTTGTTGAGGGAACTGAACCAAGGCCATGTTTGATTTTGTTTGTGCTTTTTTTTTCTCCCAGCTCTCAGGGAGAGGAAGATGGAGAGAGGAGGAAGAAGAAAAGGACCTTTCAGTTTGACAACGCTGAACTTCCACATTACACAGCACTCGACGCTGTGGGATGGGTATGTCTTTTTTTTTTTTTTTTTTTGTCACATTTCTCATTCAACACCAGTCCACTTCTGAAACTGAATGTTCTGCTGCATTTGAAGCTGTACAGTATATTCATTCTTGTAGTACTAGCACCATCTAACATCCTTACCAACATGGCAACAGTGACGTTGACACTCATGTTTCCCCACAGGGTGCAGCAGCAGCTCTGTTCATGCAAATCTGCAGGAGGATCCACTCCCAGTTCTCTTCCAGCACTGAACCCAATCTGACCTCTGGAGCCCTGACAGCACCCTCCTCCCTGAACAAGTGTGGCTATCGCATCCTGCTGGAGATCTGTGAGTCATTGTAGTAATGAAACAACAGACACTTGTTCACCTTTCTCATCCTGACTGATAAAACCTAATGCCAGATGTTAAACGCTTTTTCATTTTAATGTTGTGATGAAAATCCTGATTCTGTTTTGTTTCCTCTGTCTGGTTTCTGCAGTATCCAGACGTGATGTCCTGCCCAGAAGAAGGAGTGTGTTGTGTCTGCAGGCAGCGCCAGAGAGACAAAGCAGAGATCAGTCCTCAGCTCAGAGCAGCAGCAGCACAAGCAGTGCAGGTGACCCCAGTACTCTCAGCAGTAGTGACCAGGACCATCTGACAGCTGAGAGCTCCATCGCTGACCACCAGTGGCCACTCCTGAACAAGGATTCACCTGTACCTGGTTGGCTCTATGCGCTGTGCTAGTCATAGTTTAAAGAGAGTTTAAAAATAGTATTTTCCTTAAAAATAATAGTATAGTCTAGTACTTTTGGGCGAGGGAAAATAATGCATTTTTCTTTCCTGACTCGCAGACGAATCACTTCAGTCAGCAACCTGCCCTCTGCAGAATGATGCTAAACAAGCCAACACAGAGACAAAAGATGCTAATGACAAGGTCAGCATCTGTCTTGTTTAGTTTGTGTGACATTTATTTTAAAAAGATCAGCCTTTCTCATCCTTGCAAAGGACTGACAGATGTCATCAATTTTTTTCCCTCTTCTGTGTTTCCAGGACATGCCAGATGAAGAGAGGCTGGCAGGAGCAGCACAGAACCTCAAACACATGGGAGACACCAGTGTTCCTGTTATCCTCAACATCATCGGTAATGATTTATTGACACAGTTACAAGCCAGATCATTTTCACACATTCATCCTTATTCAAGAAAATATTAATTTAAATGACCCAAATTTCATACATCCTTATGGAGGTACTTGTTTTTCTCCATCCTTAGCTAATACCTCCACCTCTCTCTTTATGGCAGGTACAGAAAATGCCAAGAATGAGAACTATGGGGAAGCTTTTACGTGTTTTCTAGCTGCAGCTCAGCAGGGCTACAGCAAAGCCCAGTTCAATACAGGTGTATGCTATGAGAAGGGCAGAGGAGTTGGCATGGACAAAGAGAAGGTTAGAATCCGGACACTGCACTTTTTGTTCAACACCTCTTCATTCTCAAAATCATCATGCTTTCTCATATCCTATACCAGACGTCTGTCTTGAGATGATTTTCATGTTTTCTCTTCCAGGCTCTGTATTACTACAGGCAAGCAGCAACTGGAGGTCACAGACAGGCTCAGTACCGCTATGCAAAGCTACTCCTGACCAGCAGGGGGCACCAGAGCATAAAGGAGCTCAACAAAGCCGTTGACCTGCTGGAAAAGGCTGCTGAAGCTGGGCTCACCAAGGTGGGAGTCATGACATAACTTAGTAAACATTTCTTAATTCTATCAGATAACACCTCTTCAGATTCACTGCAAGTTTATTATTATTGTGTCGGAACTACGCTGTAGAAATCCTTCAAAAATGCATATTGCCTTTTCCTGCACTTGTTATTGTGCTGTTATTCATATTAGTTATTTAATATCCATTGAGAAATGTATCTCTATAGAGGTTATTTTGTCAGTATAAGAAAAGCATTGTAGCATTTTGATGCAGCATTGCTCATTGCAGTTATTTGCCTGTTATTCAGTGTTGCAAGAGGTTTGATTTGATCATGAGGCAAAGTTAGTCACTCCTGAAACTACAAGAACTGAAAAGGTACATTTTTTAGAGACATTGTAACTGTGCTGAAAAACAATAATTGCCATTAGAGGTGCTCGGGTTCTGTAGGTCTAAGTGTGGCCCCCACCGCTGTGAACTGATGTTTGTGTGTCCTCTTTGTTTCTCTCCCTCCTCAGGCTCAGCTCTGTCTGGCTTCGGTTTACTCTCGGGAGCCAGTGAGAGATGGGAGCAAGTCTGTGAAGTACCTGAAGATGGCAGCAGAGAGCGGAGTGAGTGCCCTTCTAGATGCTTCTAGAGTTTTATCAGTGGCTTCAACTCTGAGATTTCACCTACCCTCCTGGTATAATGTATCAGTCAGTCTGCATTAGGAAACAGGATATCCTAATGTAATGTAATAGTATCGCTTTAGAGCTACAGCATTGCTAACGTCTTCATTCCTCTGCCCATGCTACCATGTTTAGTTTCAGTTAACATAATCAACCGTTTGTCTCTGTACAAACGCCACCAAGTCTAGTTCTTGTATGTGTATTTAGAAGATGGTTCTTGGAGACAAATTAGCCAAAATGGCATGTTTAATTTTGTTCTCATGCCCAGGATGACACCGCCCTACTGTTCCTGGGTCAGTGTTATGAAAGCGGATTTGGGGTGCAGCAGGATCTGAGAACAGCAGCTGAATTATTCAAACGAGCCTCACAAGCAGGGAACAAGCAGGCTAAGAGCTTACTGACGCCTCCTGGTGAAGCAGGCAGACAGGGTAAGTGCATATGCTCTGTTGGAAGGACAGGCACTGCATTTTGCGGATTTGTTACTGGAATAAGCTTTTGATGAGCCAAGGCAGCAGTGATCATATCAGTGAGAATGATCATTTCCCTTCTGTCTCCCTCCCCTCAGCAGCAGAAGATGCAATGCTGCGCTCTATTCGATCAGCTCCGTGTTTCTCTGTGGCCGACCGTCGGCTCCAGCCTCTCCTCTCTGGCCAGTTGCGTCCCTCCCTCCACCCTTCCTCTTCTGCCTCACTCCTGGAGCACCGGGAGCCTGTGTGTCCCCCCACCGCTGTCCAACACGGCTCTTCACTTCCATCCCCACCACACAGAGGGACAAACCTGCCAGTGGACTGTTGGGATAGGATAGTTATCCTGAGCCAGCACAGATCAAACTGAGGAATGCATTTCATAGTATGGATGTATTTTTGCCATTGGAGAACTGTCGGTGTTTTAGGAGTGTAAATATTGTGAAGTCTGGGATAGATTTTATACTTGGGTCGATTTATGAGACATGTTAATATATATTTTTATGAGTCAGAAAGAGGTCTTATGTGTAAAATGAGAGATGGAAGCGTTTCTATTATGTTTCTATGAGGTAAAGTGTGAATAAGGTGCCTTTTAGGGGAGTTGAAAATCTTAGTTACTTTTTTTCTCAAATGCAGGAGTAATCACATAAAAAGGTATCAAAATGTTGTCTCCTGCAAAATGTATTACTGACTAAATGCTTCACATTGGTGTCATATTTCATCCTTCAATATTGCAGCTTGATAGGTAAAATGGTTGTGCTGTTATCAAAGTACAACTTCAGATTAAAAAGGAACAGTTACCCTGTGTTTTATGTGTCTGACACATGCCAAAGTGAATTGTGATGTTTTGCTGTTAAATGCACATTTTAGGTAAAAGAATTAAAAATAATCCCAAAATGTTATTTTGTTGCCTGGTTACTTTATTATAGCCTTTAAAGTTCACTGATGAGTGAAACATGAAGTCAAGTTGCAGAGAGAGCTGTATTGTCTGTATGAACAGACACTTGACTGAAGCAGCACCAATCTGAACTCTGTCTCTATGGAAATAACAGGGAGACCACTTTGAGTCCATTCTCACGCAATAATTATTAACAGAAGAAACTGCCAATGTGTTCCAGGGTCAGATACGTTCTGGCCATTCATGTTTCTCCAAGCTGCGGCATGACGTAAGGCTCTTATAATGTGTGGTTTCATTACCTGAGTTGCAAAATAACACCGGTGGATTTTTTTTATGGTTGCGTCTCCTCAGTGCGCCCGAGCGTGCTGCGTCCGCGGCTCTGATTGGCCGGCTGGGTGAGAGCTCCACAGCGCCGCACCGCCCCGGGATTCTCTGGCGCAGAGAGAAAGCGCAGCTTGTCCGCCAGCGAGCACGGAGCTGGGCTGGGAGGGCAGATGATGTGATGTGATCCAATACGGGCGGCCAGCTGCAGCTACGGGTGGACTGACACTTAAAAGTGGCTGTCGATCTCGGCTCCGCTCATTAGTGAGGGTGTGACAGCGTGTGACAGTGTGTGTCGTCGTGGAAACAGAAGCGCTGAAGCCCGGAGGCTGACCGAAGCGGTGAGTGCATGTAAATAGATGCTCTCGATGGGATGCGCTCCCCTCCCAGTGCGGCGGCGGTGGTGGGGCTGGAGAGAGAGGGACTGGCTGCTGAAGATTTACTGCTGTCCACATATCGACAGCTTTGCTTGCGCAATATTGGCAGCTTCACCTTTGCATCCTCGGCGTGACGGTAGATTTAAAGATGTTCTAATGTGCAGTAGCACTGAGAGAGTTTATTCGAGAGGCAGCAAGAAAAGAGGGGCTAGGATACTCCACCCATGACATCATCGACTTTTTCAAGTTCATTTTCTCCCCTGCCTTTGCTTTCATCTGTTGCATTTCATTTCTGAAGCGGTGTATGCAGTTCAGAGTTGAGGAACGGGGTCTGTATAGTTAATGAAGACGGGTTTTATCAGACATGCCAGGATGATGATGGATCTATAAAGCATGTTAATGATGTGAATTATTAAGACTCCAGGTCGTTCTTTTTAGGCGACCTTCAGGTGAAAACATACAAGGTGAATAGACAGTCTAATCAACTATAGATATAGAGATGTGGATACTGTTTTGACATTTTGCTCCAAAAATACTGACCCGTCAAAGTTGAATTCTTCATAACCATGCAAGTAAAAGTGAGCAAGACCACTGGGCTTTCTTTCTTACATTGCTGTGATTTTCAAATTTACTGTAAGAGCCAATACAGTTCACATGAGGACAATCAGCACCACCACAAAAGGCTAAATTTAATTAAACATAATTTTATTTGTATACATGTCACTGCTGTCCTGAGAAAATATTGTGCAGCTTATCAATTCCCTCTTATGTTACAGGACACAACAGATTTATTGAGCGTCACACTTTAACAATATGTTGACTGTGCTCCACTGTCCTGCAAACTGCTGTGTCATTCTATTTGCTTTTTGCTTCTAATAACCATCTTTTCTCCTCCCTACTTCCCTCAGATTCTATCTTTGCCCCGATTTGTTTAACTAATGGAGACCTGGCTGTGTTGTCTTGGGTAGAAACAAAGAAAACTCCGTTATCTCTGTCTGGATGATCCAGTTTGTTTGCAACTCAGACATAACAATAAAAAGGAAGAGATGGACAATGAGGAGTTGAAATGTCGGTTGCGTATTCAGTCTCGGGGTTGTGTCAGGCCTTGTAATTTCTTGTCTGAGTCATGCAACATATTTGCTGTGATTTTCAGCCTCAGAGGCTGTAGGCAAAATTTGTAGCTGTCTTGAGAAAACGTTGCATCTCCAAAAATGTCAGCTTTTCAGGCATATAGGTTTGGATCATTTTTGACATCACAATTTTAAAGCAAAAATCTACATGACCTGCAAAGAAAGATATAGACCAGCAGTTGAAAATGAAAACTAAAACCTGGAGTTGCAAGCTTTTTCATATGATAGTAGCTATAAGCTTTCTCATTAGTGGTATTCTGATGAGACAGGACAGTTAAGTGCAGGTAGTTTAAACCTGTTGACCCGATGTTTGTGTCTCACGTGTTAGTGCAGACTCAGCACACACAGGTTGCTGTGCTGTTCTGGGTCAGTGACAGGGACAACACCACAGCTACCCATGGACAGGAGAGCAGATAGGGGACCCACATGAACAAAGTGCAGAGCCCATGGGATTCTGCTTACTCCAAAATCATGCTTCTGTCTTTTCCCCAAGATCTTGTTATGGCTTAAAATATGCTGTGTTTGCATTTTCCATGATACTAAGAAAAGGTGCTGGTGATGACTGCAGCATTGTTTGTATGTGTGTGTATAATTGGGTGAAGGGATGTTTATATAGTATGCTTGCATGTCTCGGCCTGTTTTTCTACCTGTGTCTGTTATTTACGAGCTTTTAAAAACAGAAGTGACAGTGATGCAACCCCATACATGTGCTGTGTCTTAAAATCTCAATGATTATCTGCCAGTGTCTTTGTTGCCATCCATCTGTCTGTATTCAGCATCACAAAGCTGATCCACCACCCAGAGATAAAAGAGACACAGCTAGCTAGATAGCAGGCTGCGTTTCTCCTCCCCATAGACCAGCTCACTGCTCAGCCCCAGCTTTGGATGAATACATCGAGCCTCTGACTCACTCCCAGTATCAGGCAAATACAACCCAGCTTTATCCCGTCGACGCAGTGTTTTTTAACACTTCAACGGTGACACCTTATGTGTAAAAGGGGCGTGAGGCTGGAAAAGAATATACACCATGTAGAGTATCGATAAAAGCCTCTGAGATTGGCTGAGCTGAAGCTCAAGAGCAAAGAGTTTGATGCTATTTGTAACATCAAAGAGATGCAAACGAGTGACACCAAACTGAATGTCTCAACTCGATGATGTCAGAGATAAAGAGGCCTTTGTCCAAAACTATGTTATATATTCCACTAAACCATGATAATTACTTTAATTACTATTGTAGTTTTTGGACAGCATACAAATGGAGAGCTTGGTGAAACAAAGCTTTTGGAATATACTTACAGTGACCAGCCATTAGCCAAAAGATGTAAGTTGACATAAGAGAAGCTTGCAACCACAAGGAGCAGGAAGCTTATTGTACTCTAACTCAAGGAAAATAAAGAGCGAGAAATGCGATCAATAAACTTTCCAGGCAGCTCAGTGTAGAAATTGGTCACACCTTGCTCTTTCTCTTCATAAATGTGGCTTATTTTGTGTTTCTTGTGTAAAAAATTATCTCATATAAAGCAATATTAATGTACAATATGTAGCACATCAGGTTGTGCACTGTTACATGACTAGTCAGTGTGTTTGATCTTCCTTCAGCTCTATCACGGCAGTGGATTTCTAGTCAGCCATGATGTCAGTACAAACCCCTCCCCTCTCCCGCTCTGGCTCCTCCCCCTCAAATGTGGGTCTGGCCAATCGCAGCAGTTCCTCTGCCACTCCACCCACTTCCCTCAGTCTTCGTTCCTCCTACAATCAGCTGCTTGGGCGTGATGTCATCAAAGGGTCTATGGAAACTGGAAGTTCTGCCACTTTGCCAAAGAGCCGTCAGAGATACGCTATGACCACTGTGCGGAGCGCCATGGGGATAAGTGACAACTGGACTTTGTCCTCTAAAATCCAACCTGTAAGTAGAGGGAGAGGCCTCCCCACTAAGTCCTCCTCCAGTTCAGCTCTCTACACCTCTTCTTCCTCATCCTCACTCTTTAATACAACCAACCCTAAGCTGGCCAAGAATGGGGCCAACATGCAGAGACGAGCTGAGAGTCAGCAACTGGAGCTGAGTAGGGCCAATACAGAGGGAAAAATTCACAATGATCTCAGAAATAACCCAACTTCTGACTGGCTGGAACTCGAGAAAGACAACTCACAGCAGCCACCATTCCGTAGAAGAACCAAGAGCTTCTTGGAGTACCATGGCAAGGGCTGGGATCTGGACTTCAACTGGGGAAAGAAAGAGGACAAGGAGGAGAAGAAACAGCAACCATCTCCAGAGAAAGAGCAGGCCAGCCCTGCCAAAGAGAGGGACAGCCAGAAGGAGGAGAAGCCCAGCACCAAGCAGGCCTGCCAGGAAGAGAAGGATGAGGTGGAGCCGGTGGTAGAGGAGGAGGAGGAGGAAGAGGAAGATGACCCCACACCAACACCAAGACAGCCTCTACTACCAGTGGTAGTGGAGGCCCCGCTTTCCTCAACCTCTTCCTCGTCCACCAACAGCCCAGAGTGGGTTCCGGAGAGCCACAACTCCCTGCAGAACCAGGCTCCAGCCCAGGGCCGAGAGGCCCTCTGTGTTCAGCTTCAGGCTAGTCCACGCAGTCCTGCAAAGCCGCCTCGCAGCTCCCAGCCCCGGGTAATCAAAGTGGAGCTACACCCCAACAATGAGAACCAGTTCTTGCAGCAGTACCCACCTTCCTCCCCTAAACAGGCCCGGGCTTCAGAGAGAAACACCCCTACTAGGAGCTGGGAACCCCCTGCTCTGCCTGGTTCTGAACAAGAGATTGGGCTCCCTAAAGTGGGCTTTAGAATGGATCTGACTCCTGACACTCCATCAGAGGACGAAGACTCCAGCTGGACCACACTGTCCCAGGAGACACCTTCTCCTCAAACCCCACAGGAGACAGGTTCGATAACTGTGTTTGTCTTTTCATCTAATCTTTCTTTAAACTAAATTGTACATCTGTGGCAGCCTTTAATCAAGCCTCTGTTACACCCTCCTTTCATTCCCTCTCTTTCTCTCCCCCTCTTTCTACCTCCTACAGACTGTCTGATCTGGAAATGTACCAAAAAGCCTCTTCTTAAGCAAGCAAGTCACTCCAGCAATACTGCTGGAACCTTTAAGGCCCCCGTGAGCCACCTTATGGCACAGAGAGTAATTAGGATGGACAGAAGGATAGGATACTGCAGATAGCAGGGTGTGAAAAAAGGAAAAAGAAAAAGAGCAGAACTTAGTAAGTGATGGTTGCCAAGGATCTAGGACAAATAGAGAATATGTGGGTATGGAAAGAAATATAAGAAGGCAGACAGGAAAAATTTAAAACAGCAGAGAGAGGAATGGAGAGAGGCTGTTGCCCATTGGGTCTTACTATAGGGGCTGAGCCCTGGAGTTGCTATGACAACAGATACGACTAAACAGGGACAGTCTGACCATGTCTGAAATTTCCCTTGTCCACCCTTGTGTCTGTATATACATGTCTTTCTATGGTTATGAGGACATTTTGGCATTGAGAAGAACATTTTGGTCAGTCCTCACAACTTCAGAGGGCTTTTGGAGGTTTAAGGCTAGGTTTAGGTTAGGGTTGGTGTAAGGGTTGGGGCTAGCTCTGATGGTTAAGGTAAGGGTACGGGGCTAGAGAATGAATTACATCAGTGAGTGTCTTCACAACTATAGAAAAACAAGCATGTGTGTGGACTTGTGTACGTGCATATGTCATGATCATATGTATTTATGTAGCCTGTCTGTGTGCAAGCATACAAATGTATGTGTTTGTGTATTGCTACCATCCATCAGCAGAGGTATGGGGTGAGGGGGAGCTGCCCCCAGGCTGGCAGGAGGTCTCAGACTCATCAGAGGTCTATTTCTGGCACGTCCCCACCGGCGCCACACAGTACCACCGACCTGTTGCTTCTGACAACCAACACACCTCTCCCAGCAATGAGCCAGACTGTGAACGTGACCCACAACAGCAAACGCAGGAGTCCCTCAAGCCATCCAACGAGGTGAGAGGACCCACAGAGGTAACACACCTCGTACAAAAACATATTTACGGTATGTTTAACTTAGGATCAACCACTGTGGGTTTTTGAAGAAAGACCTGATTTTTTATTCAATACCAAAATAGAAAACATTTCTTCTGCTTAATATTACAATAATTTTCCAGTATGGTTGTTTCAGCAAACAAACTGATAACTATTTATATATAGACACTTTAATAGAGTCTGAACATTATTTTTAACAAGACAAAAGTCTATTAAATATTCATTATAGGAGGTTAACATCCCTTCACACCCACACACACCATTCTGTGAGGAAACACACAGACAAACATGTAGAGCATACCTGAAGAAATACACATTTCTTAATAACTGCTATAATAATAAAACATAAACATTATTTGTGAGAAATAGTTTCCTCTAAGTTGAAGCACTTATGTCTCTAGCTTTGGATGAGAGGTCAAATGCTGCTGCCATTAAGAAGTTAAGGAAGACTTATGGTATTCTCATAAACCGGTTACAGTGAAACGTCTCTAGATGATCTGGTTCCACTCTTCTCTAACGTTTTAACACAAGGGCTCGGCAAAAGCAAAAAACCATGCTGATTTGCAAAAACATTTATAAAATGTATCATGAATCTTCAATTTTAATTTTGAAGGAAGTAGTTGAACAAATCAATCTAAACTTACAGTCTGCTGAACGCTTTTTGCCAGGTTACATGTCTTGAAGAAAATGTAGCAAACCCTGCATCGTGACATGCAACTGAAAACTCTGACAAGGCTGAAGATTGAGTAAAGATTGTCATGTGAAACATTTAGAAAATTTGTTTTCAAAAACGTTATTTAAAAAAATGTTAAGTAATGACATGCAAAAAAAAAATTTAACCACAGATTTAGCAACACTCTCTTTTTCTCTCATGCTCCATCTCTCTCTCCCTTTAACCTCGCCCCTTTCTCTTCCACAGCGCCCCAGCAGCCTGATATCCGACAGCCAGCTCCGTGGAGCCAGCCCCCTCTCCCTCTGGCTCCTCCCCCTCCTCCCCCTCCTCCTCCTCCACCCCCTCCAATGATGTCACCTCCTCGGGATCAAATCTCAACACCACCTGCACAGCCAAAGTAAGATGCAGACTTACATTTATTTGAGGGTTCATTTGTTGAACTGTCAAATAAAGTGCAATAAATTGTAAATATAACCATCGTACATATCAGTCTGAAAGCTCCTCTGCTGTAATAAATATATATTTCTAAGTATTTCCTCTCTTTCTCACATTTGTTTTTCCTGTTTTTAATTATACATATTCCAATTTGAATGCACACATTGCGAGTCTCTGCACCAGCGTCAGATTCTTCATATGTTCGAACAAGCCATTAAAGATGATTATGATTGTGATTCTCATACTGATTCTGAACTTGTCTCTGTCTTTAAAAGGTCCAGTACATTTTTGTGATGTTTTTGTTGTAATTGATTCTCGGGTGGCATATTCCTTGACCAAAACAACACCTGTCATCACATTAGCTCCAGGATCCTCCATTCCTAGTCAAGCCTTTGTATCTAAATGGCACCTCACAGCCAGCTGACCTGAGTAACATCTGTCTTCTTGATGGTGTTATCCATGTATCTCTGCTGTCACTGCTGGACTTAATACATTGAAATGAGCACTCAGTAATTTTTGTCCAGGCCAGTCTGCAGCACATATTCAGTAAAGATGAATATCTCTCATATTAAGTCAAAATGAGAATTCTCATCTTCAGTTATTACAAGGCAAATTAGATCAAATAAGCAGTAAAAACAGTATCAGAATCAGCCTGTTTTTCATCTACATCTAATGACAGAATGTCTGTCTGTTCATCTGTTTTGCTCCAGGAACTGAAGGACTATCCAGTCTATCCAGATCCCAGTCTTAAGGCTTTTGAAGGGGCTACCCTCCGCTATGCTTCACTTAACCTCAAGTAAACAAATATATATTACTTTTAGTTTCTTTTCCCACTAGATTTGTGTAGCAAGGTAGGGATGATGATGTTTTTTCATGCATTATTGTGTGAAATCGGACTTTACTGTGACTCTTTGTTATGCCTGGTGTGTCTCTGCAGTCCTCCGGCCCAGCTAGAGACAGTGGACCTGAACAACACCTTCTCAGATCCAGAGGCAATGGTAAGATCAACATAGAACAACAAGATATTTAAAATCTGTGTCTGAAAGAACTGTGTGACTAAAAAACAAGGATCTGATTCAGATACTATTAGCACTCAGTAAACACAACATACCAGTATTTGGCTAAATTTAAAGTATACCATTTGATGCCACATACAGTATTCCCATAAGTTAGAGACCTTTGTTGTTGAACCATATATCAGGCTTTCAGCAAACCCGGTGTGCATTAATGAAGGGAAGCCACCAGGCCTTGTTTGCAGTGACGTAATGAACCTGCTGACTGGCATCCTGTCCTCTTTCTCTCCGATTCATGCAGTGCCCCTCAGTGGTTACTTTCTGAACTGATAAGGGCTCCGTGTGTTTACAGACAAACTATTTTTACTGCCCCCATGTGGAAGGACAGCATTTAGAAATGCTCAGCCAGAGTTTACAGTGAAAATACAGGTGGAGACATGAATGAGCTGAGGAATACAGAGAACAAACGTCTCTTTTGTTTGGAAAATGGAAGGAGTCTTTTTTTTTCTTTTTTCTTTATAGTATAAAATTTTCTAAGTGAATATGCTTAATCAAATGCAAAAATGGTCAAATATTGAATACTTACGTTTGTGAATTTAGCGGTAAGTAGGCAGGAAATAAAAACAAATGATACATTCATTTTGTCAAGACTTACCCTAAGCTTAATTGTAACCACTGCTCACCTTATCCTAACCTTAAACCAAGTCATCACTCTAGATTTGAATGATTTACAGTATGTTTTGGGGACTTGCTTTTTTGTCCCCCATGAGAATGTTAAATCTGTAAACAGATTTATGTCCTCGTACCATGAGTAATACCAGGCCACATGCACACACACACATCAAACCTCTCTCAACAATTGTCCTGATGGCTGTACAGTAGCCATCACTACATTCTGTAGCCCGCTGTACGTCTAAAACTTTAACAGGAAAGTGTTTTGAGTTGCTGTACCTGTGTGCCAGAAAATACGTGTGTCAGGTTTTATACATTCTTCTTACATCATGTTTAACATCACACTGAAAATTAAAAACACACTGCAGTGTAAGGGAATATTCCAGTGTATGCAAACCTGGATGTTATTGTTTTCTATATTTGTCTATTGTTTGCCTCAGCTATGGGGACATTGTATGCCAAGCTAATTACTGAGATCTGGGCAGTGATGCTGCCTTAAAGAAGTCAGATAGAACAAAAAGCATGAACAGTTAGAAGATAAGGTTTTCAGACCGGTTTTGAAACAATGCAGAGATTACCCCAGTTTATTTGGAACAAAATAAGGAAAACAAATTATTACCCAAACTGTTTGTGTACCTTACATTCCATAATTGTGCACACAGATAGTGGTTAATTATTTAGCATAAAGAGGAGTTAGATATTCTGCCCCATAAGAGTCACTATGTTCTGAAATCTCTGAAATTATTTTGGTGAAAATAGCATTAATTGACCAAGTCATTACCAAGATTGTGAAAACAAGACCTGAGCTGAAATAATCCTAAGAACAGGGTTTAGAGAAGTAATGGGAAACAATGTGAAGCCTTGCAAGTATAACAAAAGCCAATGTGTGTTCCTCCCAGTCATTTCCAGTGCGATCTCTGGGTTGGGTGGAGATGGCAGAGCAGGACCTGTGTGAGGGGAGGAGTAGCGTGGCCGTTCACCACTGTATCAGACAGCTGTCTTACTGCAGAAGGGACATACGAGACTCAGCTGGTGTCTGGGGCGAGGTCAGTGCATCAACAGATGGTTACATACAATCTAAAGTATGCATACTACACTGCAGTAGTTCTTGACGTGTTGACTTGTGAGCAAAGCACCTTGCAAAACCCTTGTCACAGTTAAATCCTGACTCTTGAGGTTGTGAACTGCAACTATAATGTTTCCTTGTTTGTGGTCTTCCAGGGTAAAGGGATGCTGCTGGTGCTTCAGGACCGCATGTTGACCCTGGTTGACCCAGATGATCGCAGTCTGCTCCACTCCCAGCCAATCAGCAGCATCCGTGTCTGGGGCGTTGGCCGAGACCATGACAGGTAGGTGGACAGTACAGTCTCTCTCCTTGTATGAAACTTTTTTGCTTTTGTTGTTGCTCTGCAGGTGCATTTCCTTGTCTATTACCAATCCCAAATGTCTTATTTCTTCTTGAATTTAAATGAGATAAAAGTGAAAACTTAACACAAACACATACTGTAAATCATGCTACAAACATGCACATAAATGCACAAGCACAGTGTATACACTTACTGGCACAATGCAAAATGCATATGTGGAACATTCTTGTTGTTAAACAGCTGAATCAGGAGTTTTAACTAACCATCAGAGAATGGAATCGGCTTAATTATTATTCAGTGCATGTTTGCACAAACTCCATTCAGAACGGCATAATTATGCCCTTTGCTCCATGTTTCCGGTTGACACTGAGGACCTATGGGACCTTCAGCCATTTGGCAATGTGCCATGGTCTTGACCTTTCACTGTGGAACTGACAGTGTGCTGATTCTAGCACAGCTGCTAAGCCCTCATTGACACAGGGCCCCTCAGTGTTTCCTTTAACTTTTGGAGCAATTATTTCAAATACTCACACCTAAACTCAAAGCTGATACACATCTGGAAACAGTAGTGCTGTTGTAATACACATACATGCAGGGATTCAATATGTATGAAACATGTGGATATTTGCAATTGTGCATATACCCATATAAACCTAATGTACATACAACATTGTTGCAGCAGTGTAGACTGTAACAGTGAGAGAAGTGGTGGGAGGGTTGCAGTTCGAGAAGCTGTCTGGCCCCTGGGATTAAGTTAAAATGGAATCTAAAATAACATCTGTGTAAACCTTGTTTTTCCAATTTCTCTGCTTCTTTCTTCTTATCTTTTATTTCTGTCCTTCTCTTTGTCCATTAAGTGCTTCCATAGTCTTGTTTTCTCTTTTCTCCCTCCTGTCCCTGTTGTCTTTCTCCTCTTTTTCTTTGCTCAACAGCACCACTACCACAACATTAGCTCTGTGTGTGTGATAGATAAAGAGAGCAAAAGAAAGAAAGGGGTCCCTCCGCCTCCTTCAGTCTCAGAGGAGTGAGACTTTCAGTGACTGTCTCTCTCAACGGTAATGGACAAAGCGTGTAGTAGATGGAAGCAGGAAGGGTTGGCCCAGGATAGCTCTCCCACTTGTTCTCTTCCCTCTCACTCTATCCCTCGCTCCTTTCCTCCCACCTGGCCTTTAAAATCTGCAGTCTGATCTCTTCTATTTGGTTGCAGACTTAAAACTCTGGATGTATTATAATACTACATGGCTGGAGCGTGGGAGATTTAGATGATGTTTTAATTCTCTGGGACTAAAATGCACTTTCCATGTATGCAGTAAATTGTTTTTAGTATCACGTATCTTACAGGAGTATAGACTGTGTGTGTGTCTGAGAACAACAGTATAGTGCCGCCACTAGAGTGCACTATGATCAAAGTCTGTGCATCCCGAGAAGCTGATGGACTCATGTCCACATCATTTTGTGTCCTTTTGGTGTGGAATTGTTTCATGGTTTAGCCTGAAATCTGTATAATATATGATGCATAAGGGGGTTAGGCTTTCTTTTTAACTACAAGGATCCTTATATGTGCTGCTGTGATACTGGATGTTGACAGCCGTTGGTGCGATGGTACTGTTATCATGGTTGGACCGAAATCCTTCTGATTATGTCGCTTTTTATTGTTTGTTCTTTTCCTTTGAAAGAATAAAATAATTACAAAAAAGAGACAAAGAAAACTGGTGTGGAAGAACCTTGCTGCTCTGGAAGGAGCCTTTGACCTCAACCCCATCCAGCACCGTTGGAGCTGAACGCTGGTTTAGCTCCTTGGAAAGGGGAATAAATCCCTGCAGCCAGGCTCCAAAATGTTATTGAAAAGTGAAGTGGAGGCTGTTATAACATCACAATAATAATGGCCACGATGTTGAACAGAGCTTTTCAACAATCAGATATGAGTGCAATGTCTGTTTGTCAATATACTTCCTTTAGTGTCCTCATACTCCTTCATACTCTGTAATGTACCTAATGACTGGCTTGGGAAATGCAGGAACATTGTGCCGACTTGTAACAAACTGACTTTTCTGAACCATGTGTGTCTGTTTAAAGTTAGAGAGGTAATGCTGTTAGCTAGTTGGTAGATGGTGGCAGATAGAAGAAGAAGGATGTCGTTAATTATGCATGCAAAGCATGTTTCACACAGTAAAACTCCCTGTGCTCTCTCCATCCATCTCTTCTCTCGCTCACTATCCATCTATGTGGGGAATATTCCCAGTCTTGTCCTGAATGTTCTGTCTGTTTCCCTTAGCTCAGTTCAATATGAATGAGACCCCTTGTCTCTTAAGCAGGGCGGGGTGAGGGGGTGGGGGGTGGATGATCTCCTCTATGAGGTCATAAAGCTATATCTGGAGCACTCAGCAAGTCTGACTATGTGCAAGCCTGGGGCTGCAGCATGTATATGCTTGTATATGTGTGTGTGTATGCACATGGGTTTAAAATTGATGGTGAATCTATATGTGGAGCACTCCATGGTATGTGTGTGCTGGTGTATGAGTGGGTGTGCATGTGAGTTCCCTCACTTCTTCGTCCCCTCTCACTGTCTGTAATGCGCTTGTGCTCTTTCTGCTTTCTCTCCAGCGATCTTTCTGCCTCACTCCTGTGCCAGTGGCTGCAAAGCCTTGTCTCTTCTTCTTTGTTTGTCCTGCCGTTGCACTTTAGTAGAGTATAAGCCTTCCCCCCTTTTTTCTCCAGCCTCAGTGAGACAACAGGGAGCTTCAGTGAGATAGCAGCAACTGAGGAAGAGGAAAAGATATTCAAGACAAACAGAGAGTGTGTGGGGGTGGGTGGAGGGGGCGGTCTGGTGGTGGTGCTTTTTTGATAGAGAGTGGGGTAAAAGAACCAGTGAGGGAGAAAGAGGAGAACACTCCCCTGCTCGCACTGAGCACTGAGCAGGACACACCAGGTCATTGTAGGAGACTGTTCAGACTGGGCAAGCGAAGCAAAGGAAGTCGACCGTAGAGGAAGACAGGGAGAGAAAAGGTGTAGCAGAGGGAAGAAGAGGGAGAAGTGGGGGGGAGGGGACGGATAGAGGGAGAAGAGAAGGGGATAAGGAGCCCCAGAGGATTTTTAAAAAAAGACGAAGAAGAAGAGAGGACGCAGACGGGAAGAGATTTACTCCTGGGTTCTGCCTGTGAAGGGGCTGTGGCAGTGTCACCGTTTTGCAGAGGAGCTAACAAGGCAAGGAAGTAGTAGTTGGGGCGAGGATGTTTGTCTGTGTGAGTACCCCTCCAGCTCTCCTTATCCATCCATCGCACCACTTATTGTCATCTATCACCACCTTTCTTTTTATCCCAACATCACCGCTTTCCTTTTTTCCTATAATGTCTCATTTCTGTGTTTCTACAGAGAACACAACTCACAGCTCCACAGCCACACTTTCTTTTACTACCTTTCCCTTTATTTCTTCATTCATGTACTTTTCAGGCTCTCGCTGTGTGTTTGACTTTAAGCTGTGTACTATGGCTAACCATCAGGTGTAGGGATGCAGGCTGTTGGCTGCAGGTTTGCAGCCAAAGTCACTGAAACATGAGGAAGATGTTCAGGGAGCCAGATTAAAAAGAAAAAAAAAAATAGAAATGAAAGCAAAATGAGGGATGAAATAAGCAAAGAGAGGACTGAGAAAGACGGGATTAAAGAATCTGGATGTGCTGCGGGGATTTCTCCAAGTGGCTGTTTGGAGCTGTTTGATACTGCACTTGGTGTTATGTGTGTATTCTGTAGAGGCAAAATGTTACTATTTTTGACTTACACATCATGCATTGCCTCATAAATTTGTTTAACTGATGATTACATACCAAAGAGGAAACGATGCGTGTGTCTTCTTGTGTGCGTACATGATAAATGCCTTCACCCTATGCATATGTGGAGTTTCCCTCCCTCTCTTACGTTCTCTCTCTCCTTTAATATCTACCATAACAAGCAGAGGAGGATGAGGGATGAGCCAGGAAACAATGAGCAAAGGGTGAAAAGCCATAGTGAAATGATTAAAGGCACCAGGGGGCAGTTGCTGCTTGTCCTTGCTGTGTGACACTTATTAGGACTGAGACGACACTGTTTCGAGGTGGAGCATGCGTGCTGCTGTCATATAGGCCTGTAACAGTATCTCAGTGTCTTGGTTTGTGTGCATTTCATGCTATTAAAGTGAACTATTGTTACCTTTTTTTACTGATGGCAAGAGAGGTGCAAGCACACACACAAACACATGCACAAATATGTAATAACACACTCCTACAAATACACACCCATTCCATAATTCATTCATATTTATTAGTGGGCAGAGGTAGGCTCTGTTTGCTTATTCCTCCCCACTGCTGACCTTCTGTGGACAGCTGTGGCATGTTGAAAAGCAGGGAGAGAAGGGAGAGAACACACAAGCCTCCATCAGTATTTTAATTCTGAACATAGCGATCACCTCACTTTACAGCAATGAAATGAGAAGTTTGTATTGTGGCACTCACTCTCCAGTCCCTTCCAGTCATGATGTTCCAGTTGAAGTGCAACTTATTTGTTGATGTGAAGTGCTCATAGCCTTACTTAACATGCAAGGCTCCTTTGATGGCCCACAGGGACCAGAACACCTAGACCCACTCGATAGATGCCATAGTGATTGATGGCCTTTCCTCCCCACCCCTGCTCTGATTTGAGACCCACACTAACTTCTCTCTTTTACCGCAAGCCATTGTTCCTCGACGTCACCTCCTTACATCTACCCACAATTCATCATTCCCACTTCTCCACACGCGTCTTCTGAGGATATGTCCATTCACCTCATTCTCCAAAGGGTCATCAAGGCAGGAGCTACGTTCCCTCTCACTCTCCAGAGTTATATGTTAGACACACAAAAAAAACATGCACAAAGACACATATAAAAAATCCTTATAAAACACACTCTCTCTTTCTCTTTCATTTTTACATTAGCATTGTTAGGCACACCTGCTGTAATCCCTGTCGTCCTG